GGAGAGGTCTGCGCACCATGTGGGATCTTCCTCCGGTGGCCGGGGAGCAGCCGGGGATCGAACCAGCGCCGCAGAGGCCGCGGGCAGCTTCGCAACCCAGCGCTCAACCGCTGCGCCACCGGGGAGGCCCCTTAAAGATTTTTATTTTTATTTATTTATACAAGCACTGGGTACAGTCAGAAGCGCGGGAGGGTGAGAGAATTCACCAGAGCCAGAGCGGGGAGCAGAGCAGGCAGAAGGACCGAAGTACACTGCTGAGGGGAGCAGCGGGCGGCAGGAGAGGTCTGCGTGCCATGTGGGACCCTCCTCGGTGGCCGGGGAGCAGCTGGGGATCGGCCAGGGATCGAACCGGTGCTGCAGAGGCTGCGGGCAGCTTCGCAACCCAGCGCTCAACTGCTGCGCCACCGGGGAGGCCCCCAAATTGCTTTTTAAAGCAGGAAAATAGCAATATATACACAGTCACCATATATGAATAAATGTTTGATTTGCCACGGATGTCACAGGATCTAGCAAGTTCCCAGCTGGCCAGAACATCCTACCTAATACTGGTGTTGAAGTAGACCTAAGACTTGAATGGTGCTTGATAGTTGCATCATTTACCCAATCATACTAGTCACAGGATCACCTGTTACTCCATGTTAATGACACTGTCTTCTCATGGGTAATGTGGGTAGTCGGTGCCACTAGTGAAGGGGCATTAGGATTTCATCTGCTCAGGGTAGCCTGTTCTCTGAGGTCATATTCAAGCGAACTTGGAAAGACAGTTTAAAAAACAACGATAGTATTTACTGAGCACATGGCAATTGCTCAGTATAGATGACATTTATCAATAATAACAAAATCCATCAATAATAGATAGCATGTAGTCAGTACTTACTAAGGCAGTATGCTAAGAGCTTTATGTGCATTAGTTCATTTGTCACAAAAATTCTGTGAGGCAGAAATATTATTTATTCTAATTTTAGAGTTGAGGAAACTGAGGTTCAGTGAAATTAAGGAAGTTTCCCAAAGGAATCTAGCCAAAAATCATTGTAACTATTAACTGAAACAAAGGTCTCAATGATGGTTACTCAATCAGAGTGAGGATTTGAACCTGCCTGGCAGATTTTACTCTGTGAGAACTGCTCCAACGATCACAAATTTGAATTTAGTTTGTATAAGTAGGAAATGAGTTATTGACATTAAAAGTGTAGTTATTCTTAACAGGGGGCTTCTGGTTCTAAGTTATTTTGACCAAAAGGTAGGTTGATGTTATCTACTCACAGGGGAAGGCAATGCTGGGTTTTAACCTCTTCCTTTCTGACGAATGCCCTGTGTAACTGCCAAAAGCAGGGACCCATTGTTTGAATTTTCTTTATCTGACTCTGAAAAGACTGATTTACCCACAGGCAGTAGATTTTGCATAGCTATTTCACAGACTTCAAGTCTATGAATATGGCTTTGTTCTATTTTCTGTTAGAGCAGAGAGGGTTCATGCTCAGAACATTTTACAGTATGTTTACATAACTAAGTGCAATATTGTGATTTATTTTAAATCACTCAGGTAATCAAGTTTATTTCTTGTATATATTTATTTGGTCTTCATCCACAGTTCCTGGCTCCAGGTCCCAAATGCCTTGAAAGGTCCTAAGTGTTATGAGTGGTAACAGTGATTGTTGTTATGTTATGTGGTGTTTTTTTTTTTGCAGAAAATATATGGTCATATTTTATTTTCAAAGGGTCAATATTACATTTTTAATTAATTAATTAATTTTTAATCTAAATTTTATTTTTATATTCCCCATACAATTACAACCCCCTAATTTTCACCCCAAGCCCTCCTTTCCCCACCCCCAGCCTCCTGTTATGTTAATGAGGTGGCTCTTTGAGAAGTGCCTAAGAAGGAGGTCTGTTTGCTAAGACACCCAATCTGTCATTACAGGATTGGAACTTCCAGTCCTACCCCCAGACCTCTAGGAAGGAGAAGAGGGGCTAGAGATTGAGTTCAATAGCCAATGGCCATTAATTTAGTCAATCTTGCCTAAGTAAGGAAGCCTCTATAAAAATCCAAAAGGAAGTGCTTTGGAGAGTTTCCATGTTGAGAAATCAGACCACCGGCATGTGCTACCTTGCATTGCAGTTTCCCAAGGTCCAAGAAGACAGAAGCTCCATTGTTTGTGACCTCACCCTGTTTTTCTTCATCTGGTTGTTGATTCTTATCCTTTAATCAGTGATCTAATGCATAAATAGATTTCCTGAGTTCTGTGAGCTGCTCTGAAATTAATAGAACCTGAGAAAGGAGGTCTTGGTCAGAAGTACATGTAATAACCTGGGTTTACAACCAGTATCTAAAGTCAAGGGAGGTCATTTTTTATTTTAAATAGGCATTCTTTCTGTGACCTTTAACCAAATGGTAGTTGTCATGTTAAAGGGCCACGATCTGGGTTCAAACAAATTTAGATTTGAATCCTCATTATACCACTTACTAGCTGTTTGACACCGAGCATTTTTACTTGATCTATTTTTTTTTTCTGCATAGAAAATTAAAGATTGATTTTTTTAACAACACTTTATAGCTGGTATTTCTTTAAATAGTTTGCATCAAATTTAATGAGAAATCATCTGTCCTTATAACTTTACTTTCTATGCCATCAGTCTTTTTGTCTTGTTTCATTTTTAAAAAGAAAGGGACAAGCAAAACCAAATATCTACCACCATACCTTACACCTCTTTAACCCTTTCTCCTACTTCCTACCCTTTTAACCTCTGAGAACTTCAGTTCATTTATCAATGTCCACTAGTTTTTTTTGTTAGTTCACCTGCTTTGTTTCCTTATATTACCCATGTATGTGAAATTATCCAATATTTGTGTTTTTGGCTAACTTCACATTGCAGAGTGCCTTCAGGTTCCTTCTGTCTTGCTACAAATGGAAATATTTTATCTTTCCTTATAACTGAATAGTATATTATTTTGTGTATACATCTTCATCTAATTTTCTATCACTGACCACTGAAGTTGCTTCCATATCTTAGCTATTGTAATTAACGCCAACAAGAAATGGACTACCATTTTGAGAGACTGAATCTTTACCTGATGCTATCTCTGGAAACTGATGCTATCTCTGGGTAGATAGTGTCAGAATTGAGTTGAATTCTTGAAACTTTGTAGGTGCCTGAGAATTGCATATTGGTGTGGGAAAGCTGCCACACACACTCCTGTGGAAATTGGACTCAAGATACCCTAATACACTAAGTGTCAGAAACATAATACAATGCAGACCTGCCTATTTCTAGTGCTCTAGTCATATATCTTTCATGCTATGCAAGCCATTGCTGTAGATGGGAAAGTCTTTCTGACACTCACACCAGCCAGGATAAAGTATTCCAGCTATTGAATTGTCACAATAAAACTGCATAGCGTAGCATAAAAGGCTATGATCTAGACTTTGCCCATATCTGCAATCCTCAACCCTTACATTTTATTTTTATACCCAACATAACTACACAGCTTCCTAATAGAACCTCATGTTGTTTACAGCAGCTTGCTTTGAGACATCAGTTTATTCTCTTTGCCTCAGATGTCCTTACACCTTGATGACAAGGCAAATTCCTTTAAAATGCAGCCAATACATCACCTCTTCCAGGAAACCTTCCCTAATGTTCCTCTGACAATGTTAACCATTCTGTCTTTGTTACAAATTCTATACTTCATATAAAAACAAATCTCTTCATATAAAAACAAATTGCTTGCTCATTCATTCAATATTGCTATTCTTTTCAGGCACTATGCTAAGTATGGGGAGACAGAACCAAGTCGTACTTTCACAGAAGGGCTATGTGCTGAAATATAGACATAACCTTTCTACAGCTAGTTGTTCCCACCAGCTGAAATGAAGAATAGATTTGAACAGGTTGAGGTGAATGGTTAGAGGGTGGACTAGAAGAAAATTGTCATGGGGCATTCTGATTCAGCCCAAATTTCGGAAACAAAGTTTATTTGAGAAAAACAAGGGCTGGTAATCCAGCCAGACATTAATTTGAATCAACTTTCACACTGTGGAATAGGATACATCAGTTCAGCATCTTGGATTGATTTTGAGCCCTATGGGGAGAGAAGTTAGGACCGATCTGAGAGAATTGTTTGAAAAGGAGATTTTGAGTTAGTCTCAGGACAAACTGTGCCAACAGTAGAGCCCAGGAAAGGTCGTTCTCACATCTGCATATATCGCACTTCTGAATATCTTGTATAGTACCTTTCAGTACATGACTGGTAGCCCCAGAGCCAGTGATACTGGCATTTTCACAGTGGGCCCTATCAGCCATGGCAGTGGCAGGGGCCTCGCACCCTCAAATGTCTTCCTGAATAGTGAAACAGGGGCAGAGAGGACACAAAAAAGGCCACAAGGTCTCTGAGACCGGACAGCAACCACAAAGCCTCAAAAGGCCAAAAGGCCAAAAACAAAACCAAGAGCTATAGACTAAAAAGGACAGTGCCTGACAAGAGCACAGGTCACTGCCTGTGGGTTTTCACCCACGTGCGCAATTGTGAGAGATCTTAGACTCCAGGAACAACCACCATGGGGTTTATTTACAAACAGGGAAAATAACAAGCTCACTATACCCACAAGTGGCGGCTGCCTCACCCAGATACCAACAACAAACAGCTCTTTGAGGCACCAGACCCAGGACCTTTGGCTCTCCTCTCAGGCAAAGTCAGAGACAGGCCCGAGGCCCAGTCCTTGAGAGTCCTTCGGCTTCTCTTCCCTCCACAGAGGACAGCTGCTGGATGCTTCTTTTCTTCTTTCTTCGGAGGCTGGAACCATCTTCTTTTCTTCAGGGGTCTGGCATTGTCTCTCCTTCTTCAGGGCCCTGGTTGTCGTCTCCTTTTTCTGGGGGCTCCCTTAGCTCCCTCCAACCCTGGCTTATATTCTCTTTCACCCCCAAGTCTGATTGGACTATTTAGCACCAATCAGCTCACAGTTCACACCTGATTGGCCCATTACAAAGGGCATTTACTGAGCTCTGAGGAGCAACTGCCACAACTGACTTACAGTGGGGCAGCAGGGTCGAAAGGACATCGCTGTCCTGCTGTCTCCCACCACCAAGATGGCTGGGTTCTGGTAACATTAGCAAAAGAGGAAGAAAAGGGTAGATGCTGCTTGAAGGATTATGGCTAACAGACCCATTTTGAGACTCCCTGGGGCCTACCACTTAGGTTTGGGGCAAAAGCACAAATTCCAGGTTCTTGTCATAAGTGCCTATCTCAGTTTATTAAGGTTATATGCATAATCTTAAATTATAACCACAAAACTATTGAGTCCTAGTGATATCTGAGTTACATTTTTCTATTTGCTATTAGAAAATTGTGTCTTGTTCATCTTTATGTCTCAGGATCCAGCACAAATACTGACACATAGCAATGGCTGACAAGATATTTAGATTTAATTTTAAGGGGTTGGGAGTCTTCAGAGAAGGGAGGGTGGAGCACATCACTCATACGCATTCATGCTTAAAATGTGAGATTTTTTTCCTGATTGGACCAGACCTGGAAGAGGAAACAGAAACGGAATCTGTGCCATGGGTTCCGGCCCCTTTTGATTCTGCCAGCCTGTGTGAAGAGGGGCCGAGACAAATTCCGTGACAGTTAGAACTGACTGCCAAGATGGAGAAGAAGGAACAATTAGTCATGACCTTCTACAATCCTGATGTTCCCAAATATAAGGAGTACCGGCAGTACCAAAGGGTGAGGAGGCCCCTAATTGTAGGTTAGGTGGGAGGAAGAGGACTTGCTTAAGGATGGTCCTAGGCAGAGTGTCCCAAAGAAAAAAGAATGTCCTGAATATTTGGGGGGTTTGTTTTTATAGAACGGGTAAGGAAAGATAGGCAGAAATCAAACCTACATGGGGACTCTTGAGGTAGAGAAGAATAGGAGTCCCTAAGGATGGGGGAGTTATCTTTTTAGGTAGGCAATATTTCCCTCATCCTTGTAGCCTACCCTTCCAACCAAAGGTCAGCAGAGTGACTCGATGACATACGAGAGGCAGAAACAGCTTGTGGAGGAGACACAAACCTACACCCGAATGTTCTGTGGCGGCCTCTGTGGTTTTAGCCTCCTATTACAGATCTGCGTTTCTCCAATGGAATGGGTGCAGTTCCTGGTGACCAAGAATGGTCTTGAGCTCTCCGCAGGACTCTGGGTCATATGCCACCATGAAGCACTGTGCTGGAGCCACGTACCCAAGCCACCTTGTGAGTGCCACTAAGTTAAATGCCACAGGCCCCATAGTTTCAGAGCTCTCTGCCACACTGACCCTTCATTTTCTTTCTTCAAGCTCTTTTGGCCTCCACCTCTCCAAGTCCAAGATGGGTGGCAGTCAAATTGAATATAACCATCTTTTTCTTTGGTTTCCTCTGTGTACCCTTTCTCCTTCTTATGCAGGTTGTTTCCTCTCCCAAATTATGAGGTGGACTATTTGGGAAGAATTCTTGTCATTTATTAGTTGTTACTATACAGTGTGGTTGGTATTCTAATGTGGATTGCGGAAATAGAAGTGAAGTGATCGAGCATAGCTGGCAAGATAATTCTGCTAGGCAGATTTCACAGTCCCTTCTCTGGGGTGCTAGTTCTCCATCTAGGATCCTTCCAAACTCCCAACTGCCTCCTCTGGGTACTTCCCCTGAGTCTGAAGAAGTCTTATCTTGACCTCATATACCTGGAACAGAGGCACACAGGCTTCAATGTGGAGGTTTAGATGTGGCTTTTGACAACGTGGGTTGTCAAAATCAACACGTGCTGCCCCCTCCCACCAGTTCATCCTAGCTCCTTCACAGTTAAAAGGGCTATATCCTTTGGGAGCACTGCCTTCCTCTCCTGGGTTTGATCTTTGCTGAAGGTCTGAGGGTGTAGTGAGGGAAACCCTACCACCAAGTCTCTTTGGAACAGCTGAGTAGAAGGTGCTCAGCTTGAATGTGGCTGCATCTCTCCTCTGCTTTTCTTTTCATGCTGTCTTGGCTTCCCCATTGCTTCCCTTCAGGGTGTCAACAGCCTCAGAGGAGAAGAGTATCTAGTATTAACCAAGCTGTTTGTTTGTAAGTGTAATGTGACTTTTCACACTTCCCTTCTCACTTTCTAATACCTCCAGGCAAAGTTTTACTTTCATAACAATAGGAGATCCTGCCCATCCATTACAAACTACCAAGTGTCCAGTTCGCAGTTCACGGTAAAACAGCACTGCTTTCTGGTTGGGTAGTGTCCCTTCTGGCCAGGGTGGTGTTCATGTCCCACCCAATGGTATTCTGAAGGGCAAAATCACTAATTGGGATGATCTCAACAACACCAGCAAGGAGCTTACCAAGTTTTTTAAATGATTTGGATGTCTTCCTTTCCAAATTGCAAGTGGCATGCTCTCTCCTCTCAGCTGGTAAGCTGTGAGGCTTGCCTTGCTATTCCTGAAACCTGAGTCCACATCAAACCATGTTCTTGAGAAAAGCTCTACAAGTGTTTGCTTACAGGTAACCCATGTGGTGTTCCCAGTATCTTGTGCACTCTTCTCTGCCCAGACCAAGGTTTCTTACTGACGTGTATAAGCAAGGCCTTTTATAACTTAGGTCCTAAGAGTTTTTGAAACTTTAATGAGTCACTTGCTGTAAAAACTGAGGTTTAAAAGCTGAAATCAATTTTGATCTTACAAGGAAGATAGAGGTTTGAATTCTGCTTCCAGACCTTAGCTTGTATAAATTTAGTTATATAAATTTTAAAAAATATGAAGTTATCCAAATGCAGCTGTTTTAGAGTCTGAAGTTAAGTACTGAACTGGTGAGATAACTTCTTGTGTTAGGTTTATGAGTAATATACCTTATTACTCTGAGGGTTCAGGTTCTTCCATGACTAAATCTTTAGCTGTTCCTGTGGACTTCTGAGAGACTTGATTTATGTTATTTTCAGGAAATGAATCACTAACAGAGAACACTATAAGAATAACATGAAGGTGAAGTCTTCCCTTCACAGTAGAAGAAAAGACAGAACTGTAACCCACTTGGATGGGTTATCTTAGATAATGCTCTTTTGTGTTTTAAATATCAGAACCTATTTCAACTAGCATGAGCTAAAGAGTGAATGTATTTATAAAGATTCAGAATGTCATAGACTCCCAAGGGCAGGAAGATTGTTGGACTTTAGGAGATTCCAGAAGACACTGGGATCTCAGGTGAAGAAATGAAGCTAGCTAGTCACTTGGTATCTCTAGAATTGCTTTGTCACTCAGCTATGTTTGTGTTTTGTTTCATGTCCACAGCTGTTTTTCCTGTTTATTACTGCGTAAGGGCCCAAAAAGTGATATCCTAGACTAACTTTATATTTGTGGTTCACACAAGCAAAAGAGAAAATTAACACCATTCAGTCCCAAATCCAAATTTCCAAGCATAAAAATCAAGTCTGTCCAACTGGGATCAGATTTCCTTCCTCGGCCCTATTAACTACTGTCAGGAGGACCAGAGGGAAGGGTTCAAGGCTATGGACAAGGGCTGCTAGGGTTAAATACCATAAAAATGTCTATCACACTGGGCTATATGCAGCTCAATCTGGGCTGACAATTCTGGTTGACTATATCTACTGCTAATTATGGAAGACCCAGTCTTCAGAACCATGTTGCCCTTAATTCATCATGTTTTAATGTAGCTAACTTGTTGGAGTTACAGATTGACTTACCTCTGTGGGTGGTTTATCTTGATGGAAATAACTATTACTGATTATGGTCTAGAGAACAAAGTAAAACTTAGGAGAAAGATCTTAGACTGGGAAAAATGTGGCATATAATTTCTTCTCTCTGAGTTACTTGGAAACTGGACTTAGACTTTTAGGTATGGAAATGCTTAGAGGACTTTCAGTGGTGAGGATGAGCTAGCTCCTGCTCCACTGAGACAGGAAAGAGGAAGAGGTACAGGACATTGAAGATATTGCTGGGTGGGTGGTATTTCATAAAAACCACTTGCAGTTGTACATCACTCTGTTTCTTAATATTCAGTAAAACATTGTTGGTAAAATCAAAGGAAGGACCTATTCCATGTTAGGAATATGGAAACAAAGGTAAAGTTTTGCACGGCACCTCTTCTCTCTTACCAGCAAGCATCTGCAGTGACAAGTAAAAGAGAGTGAAGGCCTGAAGCCAAGAGCTGGGGGGAGAAAGTGCACCATGGCCCTGAATATGGGTAGTGAAGTACAGGCTCTTGAAGGACTCAGAAAACGAGGGGGAGAGAGATTTTTGTAGTGTTTAATTCCTACAACCCTGTAAACTGGGGCTTGAAATCATTACAGTATAGAAGTTAAAGTAAATGTGATTTTATTTTATAGTCACAGGATGATAAGGCCTGCACATGAAAAAGAAAAGACAGATAGAAACAAACTCCAATCCCAATAATGGATGAATCATTAAGCAAAATCTTTTAACATGATATGCTATTTTGTAGTCATTTTTTTTCAAAGATTTATTTATTTATGAATACAAGAACTGGGGTTAAGGCCAGAGGTGTGGGGAATGAGACGATTCACCAAAGACAGAGTGGGGAGCAGAACAGGCAGACTGACTGAAATACACTGCTGAGGGGAGCAATGGGTGAGATAGGAAAGGTCTGCTGTGCCATGTGGGTAGCTCCCTGGCCTGCTGGGGATCAAACTCGTGCAGTGCTGCAGAAGCTGCGGATAGCTTCTCAGTGCTGTGCTTAACCCCTTGTGCCACCAGGGAGGCCCTGAACATGTATTACTTTTAGAATTAGACTTAGGAACAAGAAAAAGTTTTAATCTGTATAGTCATGATAGAACCATACCTCCATATACTCATACACTCTTTTTCTGTAATTAAATTTGTTTATTTTCTCACATCATTGTTCATTTCTGTACAGTGTTTGATTTCTCCCCTCAGGTGTAGTCCCCACAGTTTTCTCACCACCACAGCATCTGGGACCCGTCACCATAGTCCCTTGTGCTCTTCCTTCTCTTGTTTTGACCCTCCTCCCTCCCTCTCCCCTGCTATTAGAGTCATACATCTTATATAAATGTTTAATATCAAAGAGTATGTGCTAATGCACCCAGAACTGTTTATATATTATCTTCAGTTTAATAATAAAGGTTTTGTTTTCATAGTAAAGAAATTCTGGGTATCAATGAAGAACTGGGAAAGAAGATCCTTATTTGTTCCTCGGATACCACATACCAAACTCTGCTTCATCCTCTTGTGTTCTCATTCATGTTTCTAAGACTATCTGATTTCTTTTCTATCTGATTTTCTTAAGGGTCGGTCACCAATGGATGAACTAAGCCTTTTCTTTCTCGCTCTCCTTGCCAGATTACCTCCTATATTCCAGGGTCTTATTCCTCATCTCTGTCATCGCCATACTTATCTGCCTTGGTTCACTCTTCAATTCTTGCCTCCCTAGAAGAGGAAACACGACAGCCAACTTGGATCTGAAGGTATCCATGCTCAGCTTCATCTCAGGTACAGACCTATACTAGCAGAGTAATGCCATGGTAATTGTCAAGGGAACACAGTTCCTCTGTGGGGCTTTCATCCTCTTTTACTTAATACTTTTTCTCCTGTTCAGTATCACATCAAGCTGCCAGTACCTGCCCTATCTTATTATATATAGCACACTTTTACTGGCTTATGCCAGGGAAGAAGTAGATGCCCCTTTCTCTCTCTTGATTTGGTCAATCCCCAAAATTCAATCCTTTTTATCCTTTTCATATATGTATTATCTGGAAACCAAAGAAGAGTTGGGGATGGCGGTCAAGACAGATTGAAGGTACTAATGAGTTGTGACATCTTTTCTTTTGGTCTAGCTGTCTCCTTGCTCTTCTGCCTCATCCTATTTCTGACACAAGTTCAGTGGCATACTAGGGATATTATGGAGTCAACTTTCATATGGACTTTTTATATTAATTGGTGGAGTGATTTCTTATACACCTTTGCTGGTGAGTCAGTTTCCTATATTATACATAAAGGATGGAAGGAGATATTACTTTTTTAAAGGGAGGTATAATCTGGGGGAGATAGAACTACTGGTTCTTTCTACTTAGAACATTTATATATTGGCACGCAGTGTGCTGTGGTGAAGAAAGCATGGGCTTTAAAGTCTGAAAACCTAGAATTAGTTCTACCACTAACTGAGGCATAAATAGTTTGAATAACTTGCCCAAGATCACACAAAGTAGCAGAGCCATGATTTGAATTTAGGAATTTTAGACATTGTCCTAACCACATGAGAAATACTATAATACAATGGGAGCACGGAAAGGTAATGTAATTCTCCTGGGGGAGAGGAGGGTTGGCTTCATTAAAAAGAGGATTGTTGAACTGAATGTTTAACAGATGAGTAAGAATTTTAAAAGTCAAAAGACCATCTGTCTGTTGAAACTAACCTCAAATTCCTCTCTTCCTTTAGGGATCGTCTCCTTCCTCAACCACCTAAGAGCCAGATCTCTTCCTCTTGATCATGGTGTCCCCACTGTGATTCCCATGGAGAGGTCAAGGCTGGGGATTGGTCCAGTGACTTCAGCACCACCTGAACTCAATAAAGAAACAAGCTCTGAGACAGAAACTTCAAGTGAGGAAGAGACAACACAATAAAACACAGACCTGTGATGTCAATAGGAAAATTCAGTTGCTGCTTCTCTTAGAAAAAGGCAGAGAAGCTAGTTGAGTTGGGGATGACTGCAGATTCTGGGACACTCTCCTAATATCATCTCCTCATTACTGAAGAAGACAGTATTAAAGTTGATGAAATATCCTCTGTGTACCCTGGATCCAAAATATGTATGTTAATCATAAAGTAAAAAAAATTCACTTAAGAAAAATATTTTCTAAAAGAAAACATAAGCATTTAGGGTCACAAATAAAATAAACTAGTAATTGATGTAGGGTCACTGAACTCTTTGGACACTAGGGATCTTATGGAACAAATGGTCCGTGAAGACAGATGTTATTTAATTCTGTTTGAAATTTTCTTTATTATGTGTGGCCTTGGGTACAATCAGGACAAAAGGAACATGGACAATATTGTTGAATTGGAATTGGAGGTCATTATTAGAAATGGAATTAAGATCCATGAAGATAATATCTACCACTCAAAGGAGTTAAGAGGGGCATGGATTCTGAGGATTCTAGGAGGTAGGTACTGGCAATATGAAATCTTAAAGTAGGTTCTAAACCTGCTGCTTTACCCTTGACTGGGAGATATCTTGACCAAGTATCCACAAACTCCCTGAAATTCTAAACAAAATTTATCAACATTTTTCTGTGAAGAGGGTCAGACGCCATAAGTTTCATGACAGATTTGTGAATCTTCTTACTCCTTAGGCATCAATTATGTTTTGTTGAGCCAAATGGGGACAAAGGATTTTCTTCAAAGTAAGTATATATGTAGGACCAAGTTGAAAGATAGTTCATATTGTTCTTTTTTTTAAATCAAGTTCATGTTAGTTTACAATACTCTATAGGTTCCATGATTACATTTTCTCACTATGACCCCGTTAAATGTTTAATCATCATCCACCACAAACCAATTGGCCTTTTCTAGCTACAACCTCCCTGCCCCTTCCCCTCTGGCAACCACCATTCTCTTGTCAGGATCTACAGGTTTATTTTTGTTTGTGTTTTTTTATATTGCACAAATGAGTGAAATAATGTGTTATTTGTCCTCTCCTTATTTCACTTAGATATCATCTGAACATCCATCTATATTTTTGTAAATGGAAAGATTTCAGAGAAACCAGATATGTTTTATATACCCTCTAGGACTAAGTAAGGGAAGAGTGTTCAAATAATCACATAGATCTTTTGATAACTAAAGATCCCTTTGAAGCCCAGGTCAGATTCCATGCAGAAATACCCTGATACTCATTTTACCTTTTATTCCTTTAGTAGCAGTCATTGCTACTATATTAATTGAAGTCCATTCTTCCCCTCCCAAACCTAATATGGAATGAGCTATAGAGCCCAGCATCACTACTTACTCTTCTTAAAGAGAAGTTTTATAATTCCACTTCTTAAATTATATGACAAAATTAACAGACAACTGACTACTGATGATCTTGGGAATGGAAATTTTAAGTGAGGTGAAGAGAAGGAAGCAAGTCTAGTGATAGTGGAGATGCTAGATAATGGAGAAGCAACAATAAAGGCCCTGAATCTGGGGGAGAATAAGCAGTAATTATCACTAAGTTTTCAACTTTGTTGGCAGAAAATGATCTTACAAGCAGAGACAAACTTTCACTGCCCTTTTAGAAATGGAAGACTCTTAATTTCTTTTTCTCTTTCTTTGTCTATAAAGAATTCCTTTTTTAAAAAAAAAAGGAGTTTACAATCAGATTGCACAGCAAATCACCCTTTGATACATTTCTACTTCAAATATAGTACATGATAGATGAAGTAAAGGGAAGTGGGAGTGAGGAGAGAAAATATGTAGATAAAACAAGACAAGTGTTTTCATGTTTCAAGTGTTTTCACCACACTGATAAAGACACGGGAGTGGTGGAGCAGGCTGCACAAGGCAGGATGCTGCTAAGAGCAAGATCCTGGCCGTTTTTATTGATAAAAATAATCATAGAGCATCAGCTACATCCTTTAGGAGGACAAGGAGAAAAGGTTGGGTGAAACTCAGGAATGTCATCTAGGGCTTGGGGGACGTGAGTCTGCTGACCATATTATCAGCTTGATGACCAAGTGACCAAGTGTTGTAATCGAAACTAGACCCCAGGCCCCAAGCCGCGGTCCTAATCTTATCAACAAGGCATTCCACTGATCAGTTTCTGGGGTCCCTTGTCATACATCAGTCCTCGGCCCCCCCAGGCGTTCCCGGTCATATCTCATGATGTATGATTCGGGAGTAAGTTTATGCATCCGTCCTCAGTCCCCCAGGGCATTCTCGATCATACTCCTTGATGCATACCCTTCCCAGAGTGGTCAAGCTTTCTGCTCTTGATTGATATGAAAGGCACCTTGTAAGGTTTGGCTCACATGATTGTGACTGGACAGTTCTGACCTTTGTATAGGAATGCAGAACTGCAGGTAACCATAATGGTGGCTGAACAGGCCGCTTAAGTCTAGCAGCCGCTTAAGTCAAGCAGACCCACATTTTCACAGACCAGAAAAATGACAAACACAATGTTATGAATTGAATTAAAACATAAACTGTATATGGAACAGCTGCACCAAGCCCAGGTCCCATGTGTGCTACTGACACCCGCCGGACAAGCACTCCAGGTTCCTTTCACTTCTGAGTCCAATGTAGCAGCTGTCAAGGATCAGTTGATTTAGAATCTTCTTAAGGAAGAACACGCCACCCAGAATAAGATAACAGTTGTTGGAGTTGGTACTATTGGCTTGGCCTGTGTCATCAGTGTTTTAATGAAGGGATTTGGCAAAATGAACTTGCTCTTGTTGACATCCTGGGGAATAAATTGAAGGGAGAGATGATAGATCTTCAAGAGAGCGGCCTTTTCCTTGGAACACCAAAAATTGTCTTTGGCAAAGACTATAATGCAACTGTAAATTCCAAGCCAGTTATTATCACAGCTGGGCACATCAGTGAGAGAGGAATGACTGCCTTAATTTGGTCCAGCATAATGGCAACAACTTTAAATCCATCATTCTAAATGTTGTATAATACAGCCCAAACTGTAAGTTGCTTGTATTTTCCAATCCAGTGGATATCTTGCCCTATGCAATTTAGAAAATAAGCAACTTTCCCCAAAATTGTGTTATCAAAAATGTTTGCAATCTAGACTCAGTTCAGTTCTGTTACCTAATGGGGGAAAGGCTGGGAGTTCACCCATTCAGCCATCATGGATGGGTCCATGGGGAAAGCATGGAGACTCTGTGTGCCTGTTTGAAGTGGAGCGGATGTAGTGTTTCCCTGAAGACTGCATCCTGATTTAGGCACTGATGCAGATTAGGAACAGTGGAAAGAGGTTCACAAACAACTGGATGACAGTGCTTATGAGATGTTACAAACTGAAATGTTACACATCCTGGGTCATTGTATCATGGGTGGCAGATTTGGCAGAAAGTAAAATGAAGAATCATAGGTGGGTGCATCCAATTTCCACCATGAGTAAGTGTCTCTATGGAATGAAAGGTGATATCTTCCTTAGTGTGCCTTGCATCCTGGGACAAATGACACCTGAGGAAGAGACTCATGTAAACGGTGCAGATAGACTTTAGGAGACCCAAAAAGAGTTGCATTTTTAAAGTCTTTCAATGTTGTACCACTTCACTGCCTAGGCTACAAGTGTATTTTATTTGGAGATTGTTCATATTCTCCTTTTTATCTGATCTGTGCCTAAAGCAGTCATATAGAGACAGCATGAAAAATATCAATTTCTTAAAGTAGAAATGGGAATGATTCATAAAACCCTACAGTTATATCTTGATGCTTGATGGTATTCCAAAATTGTTCATGTAAAATAGATCCACCACCTCGGAGGCAACACAACCAATGTTGTACATGATGCAGTTGCCCTTCAAACCAGATGAATGTTTATTGTGTGTTATATAACTTCTGGCTCTTTCACCCAACATAACTAGTCCAATCTTTTTTTTTCTCCCCATCAATCACATTCTGGGATCCAGTGTATAAATCCAACAGTGCATGTCTTGTGCATGTCTTCTAAACAATCATATTTTGGGCCTCCCCCCGTGGCGCAGCCGTTGAGCTCTGGGTTGCAAAGCTGCCTGCAGCTGCAGTGCTTGTTCGATCCCCGACCCTGGGTGAGGGTCCCACATGGTGCGCATACCTCTCCTGCTGCCTGCTGCTCCCCTCAGCAGTGTATTACGTCAGTCTGCCTGTTCTGTTCCCCGCTCTGGCTCTGGTGAATTCTCTCACCCTCCTGTGCATCTGACTGTACCCAGTGCTTGTATAAATAAATAAATAAATCTTTTAAAAAAAATCCCCCCCTTTAAAAAAAAAAAAAGGAAAGAAAAAAAAAACAACAATGAAACCATTGCATTGTTTATGCAAGTGACATACCCATTAGAAAACAACAAATGAAACTTGAATAGCAGGGCAGGAGAAAGGGGAAGACAAAGACTTACTAGGTGATAAATCCCAGAGTAAACAGAGATGAATATGAAGACAGCTTCTGTAGAGTATAAGGACTAAAAGTGCTTCTCAACACTTGAACTAGAGCCATATTCACAGCTGTAGTTTAAACTAGGGACCTATAAAAAGAAGCAGAACAAAAACTACCCCAAGCATTGACTTGGGCAGTAACATATTTGGAACTACAGACCTAATTAGGTAAAGGCACATGAATACAATCTTGTTTAACTAGGAAGACCACTGGTTCATTAACTGGGCCTGTGGTAGCTCTCACAGCAGAACAGAACAGACATTTGAAATACCACATTATGAGATCTGAAACTGGGCTGGAGCCTTTGACCAAAAAAGGAACCTACAAACCATCAAGCAGAATGAAAGGGTGTTGAGAGAGAGAGAAAGAGAGAGAGAGAGATCAAAACAAAGAAACACAAAATTTTGTGCCTGCAAATAAGAATTTCAAATATCTAAATAAATGTTCAGAAAGAAAATAGTTCAGAAAAAAAGAAAGCCATCAATCAATATAAATTTATTTCAGATTAAAGGACTTTGGGATAAGTATGCTAAAGAATTTAAGTATTCTTAGGATGCATAAAGAGATACATGATAGAGTTGTGAGTTACAATAAAATAAAACCAAAAACTATGAAACAAAAATAAGGAGTGTGAGAAGGCAGAGAATGACAACCAGGTCCTAAAATTTAGAGCAGTTCACACTTTTTTCCTTGCAAAAAGCAAAAGATACATTTGAAGGGAAAAAAATGAGATGGCGATGTTTACCCCAGAAGCATATAAGGAGATAACTTCT